GCCATCGCTAGTAGCTTGGAGGCCATGGCTAGTAGGTTGGAGGCCATGGCTAGTAGCTTGTAGGCCATCGCTAGCAGGTTGGAGGCCATCGCTAGTAGCTTGGAGGCCATGGCTAGTAGGTTGGAGGCCATGGCTAGTAGCTTGTAGGCCATCGCTAGCAGGTTGGAGGCCATCGCTAGTAGCTTGGAGGCCATGGCTAGTAGGTCGCGCGCCACTTCTTCCGCCCTCGACTGTTTTGCGGTCACATTTCGTGTGCAATTCTGTGGTTCTGTTCCTGAGAACCCCACGACTGGCCGCGCCCAAAACTGAAACCATCTTCCAGTTCATCCCTTGTCCCCAACAATCCGCACCAATCTCAGGGAATCTTGAGTTCTGCGACCTCATTTTCCTACTTGCGTGTTTTCTGTTTGTTCCGTAGGATTTCAATCTTCTCTGTTTCTTTTCCTTGGACCTGGACATGTTGTTGTTTGTGTTTTTTTGTGTTATTAGACATTTTAGGTGTGTTTTTTGTTCGTTTAATGTTTATAGATCTTTTAACCTTTTCCATTATAGTTTTTGTTGCTTTGTATTGTGCCTTTCTATTCTGAGCTTTCCGCTTCTTCTAATAGCGATGGCCGCCAACCTACTAGGGATGGCTCCACATATTCTTTCTTTGGCTCTACAAGACTACAAGGGAGCAGAAACTGGAGCAGCAACAGTCATGAACAGGGACGATGAGCCTGGCCTTTGCACCAATTGCTAAGACTTGTGAACTCAATGTAAAAACAAGCTGTTTTCCTCTACTTGGTACATCATTACTCTTGGAAAGTATTGCAAAATCATATGTTGTATTGCATCCCCCTCTGAAACATGGTCCAGCGAAGAAAGGCCTACAACCTTTCTTGGCAAGCCGAAGACTGAAGAAGTTGCGGAATTTTTTGTGTTGGATGTCCAGTCCATCCAGAAGGTGGCAAAAACAGTTAATGAGAAGGACTTCCAAAAAATGTGTGCCCTTGCGCGGCTGATATGGAAGGCCACAAAGCCAAGTCATTTGCGCATGCACGTGTAGCTACAACATATTTGTAAACGATGTCAGCGCTTATCTTTTGCCATTCCACAACATCAATACTGTGTGCATGCGCGAGCTGTTGCGTGGTCGGCTGCTTTTTTTAACGCCAGTGCTAAGCCGTTGGCTTTTGCCTTTTTGATGCTTCACAACTACCCCGGGAACATGCTTTCTTCATAACCTTTTAGCATCTTGCAACCTTCAATTCAACCCTTACTTGGTTCCCTCCACCCATTTTGTTTATTCTACCTGTTTAAAGTTACAGGTGGTTTAAGTGCTCCACCTGCTACAAAGATTGCACTTCGATCGACAAAATGCCACGCCCACAAAATCTGAACTTTGATCAAAGAAAATCCAGGATCTTCAACCTGATGTCAGCACTTCAACCTACTCGCGATGACCTCCAACCATCTAGCAATGGCCTCGAACCGGGAAGCGATGGCCTCCAACCTGCTAGGGATGGCCTCCAACCTAATAGCGATGGCCTCCAACCTACCAATGATGGCCTCCATTCTAAGAGCGATGGCCTCCAACCTGCCAGCGATGGACTCCAACCTACTAGCGCTGGCCTCCATTCTAAGAGCGATGGCCTCCAACCTAATAGCGATTGCCTCCAACCTACTAGCGATGGCCTCCAACCTAAGAGTATGCCTCCATTCTAAAAGCAATGGCCGTCAACCTAATTACTAGCACCCAATAGTATGGCCGCCATTCTAGGAGCGATGGCCTCCAACCTACTGTAATAGCGATGGCCTCCAACCTGGTAGCGATTCCCAGAAGGGGACCCAAATGACCCCTAGTCGGAAGACTCCGTCTGCGTGGCTGAGGCGAGGTCAGAGAACCTTTTCGGACGAAAGCCAAAGTCGCAATCTCAGAGACTCAAACTGCATTGTTGGATTTTACTCTTTATCGAGAGAAAGGTAAAGGAAAAAGCATGTCTAAAGGTCTTTAGATGCAATAAACCGCAAAGGTTTCAAAAAGAAACCTCCCTGCATGAGCAACCTTAACCTCCCTTGCATGTGAGCAAGCTTACCGACAATAGAACGCAATGATTATGTTGTTGCCCACACAACAAAGGCGGGGCGTGGTCAGAGCTGTACCGGACAAGTGGTTTGAGAGGAAAACGTTAGTCAAGCAGGGCATGCCAGTACTTGTTGCAAATCTATCAAGCACCGCTTTCTGATTTTTCTAGCGACTGTTTGCACAGCTGCGACGCTACCCCGCTCATTTAAACCTGCCTGATGAAGTGCAAGTTGCGGTGGAAGGTGTGGTAAATGATGGTGTCAACTCAATTCCACCCCACATGAAGTCTCCCTTGCAATCAGAAAGTCCCAGACTTGGTTTGAGGGAAAATCTACAATGCCATAGTTTTAGGGGTGATAACAAGGGTTTCCTGCAGATTTTCCCGTGAACCAATTGATTCATAAAATCGTTGCCTGTCCACATAGCCATGGGGCTCGGTCGTGATCGCCCCACCTCTGTGGAATGCGTTTTGGGTAGTGCCAGAATGAGTAGTCTTTCCCAATGCTAGCATGAATGTCTAACAATGGCCTCCAACCTAGTGGTGATGGCCTCCAACCTGGAAGCATGAAAGTCAATGATGCTTTTCTTGTATGTGTGTTTGGCATAGCATAGCTGCCTCTTTGGGGCAATTTTTTGTTGCACGGACACGTACACGGCGTGTCACGGTGTGTAAAAGAAGCTCAGCAGCACCAAGGAACACCCTCCACTTGTCACTCCAGGAACAGCGCAGCACACGACGTGTTCTCTCTCTCAGCGAAATGGCTATCCAACAGTGTCAATCCAAACTCAAATGGAAACACTATGAAACAATACAAAATTGCAAAACAAAAGATCAAAAAACGATCGCTCCTTCAAAATCGTTGGCAAACATCGACGTTTGTCGGTTCCTGCTTGGAGATTGGCTGAAGGGAAAGGGGCAGTTTGGTTGGAAAGGAAGCTACTACTAGCTTCTTGTTACTAGTAGTAAGGCCAGGAGCTACTAGTAGCGTCCTTGCTCCTTGGAGTAAGGCCAGGAGCGCCCCTACTAGCATCCTTGCTCCCAGTAGCGATGCCCTTTGTTCCGTTCGTAGCTTCCTGTGGTTGTAGAGGTTCTTCAGTTCGAAGTGAGCTCTTGTCGGTCACGCCGTGATTTGCTTTCTCAAGAGCGTCTCGTGGCGAATACGCTTTTGGAAGCACCCTGTGTTTGGGTCCTGGGCAGCTCCAAGTTTGGCCTCCACCCCAGAAGCGATGGCCTCCAACCTAATACTTGTACTTCATTGTTTGTGCGTTCAGGTACGAATTGCTTACATATTGCGATTCAGACCAAAACAGGGCATGTGGTGCCCACTCTGGTGAGGTTCCCAGCTCTTCGTTTTCAAGGTGCCTCAAGGGCAATTGCAGTTGAATCACAAATAGACTTCCACTTACTGGCGATGGCCTCCAACCTACTGGAGATGGCCTCCAACCTACTTACTTCTAGACACCTTTGCGAACACCTGAAAAGAGCTCTTGGAACGCAAAACCAATCAGACCCATGCGAACACCTTTGGGTCTCGCAGGCGACAGCGACGCTCCGTCTTCCTCGTCGTGGACCGCGACTGCGAGGACCGAGCCGGATGCGATCACCTTAGAGGCAAAACAATAAGCTACTAGGAACAAGTGCAACGCTTCTAGTAACAAGTGCCTTACTAGTAGTAACAAGAAGCTAGTAGAAACAAGAAGCTAGTAATTAGAAACAATAAGCTACTAGGAACAAGTGCATCGCTTCTAGTAACAAGTGCCTTACTAGTAGTAACAAGAAGCTAGTAGAAACTAGACGACGGTTGGCCCGAGAGCAAGACATGTAATTGTCCAGCACTGTCGAAAAGATGTATAGAAAGAGAGAAAGAGAGGGTGGATGTGAAGGAGTGACAGTGTGATGCGCAGGTGCGATATAGATCTGTAGATGTATGGAGGTGGAGAGGTAGATCTGTGGATGTGAGCGTGCGAAGATGTAAATGCACAGAGGCGAGAGAAAAGATATGTAGAAAGAAAGAAAGACAGGACAGATGTGAAGGAGCGACAGTGTGGATGTACAGATGTGATATAGATGTGCAGATGTGTGGGTGTGGTGAGGTGGAGAGGTAGATCTGCGGATGTGAGCGTGTGAAGATGTAAATGTAGAGAGGTGAGGGGTTGTAGACGTAGATGCGTCGATGCAACGGCAATGCAACGTCAACCTTAGTCGTGCAAGTACAACGCTGAAGAGGTTCAACTAGAACTCAAGAACGTACACTTCACACTGAAGTTTCCACGAACAGGGTGACCTGAGAGTAAACGACGTCACGATCATGACAAGCGACTCGTGTATTCCAAGCGAACATCGTTTGTCGTGAAGGTGAAGTACACACATACTAACGTCACGATGACTCTTTTGTGGCAGCCACTTATGAGTAAACAAAGTAGCTAAAATTTGTCAACCTCTCAAGAGAGCCGGGTGGTCGGGAGACATGACTCAGCTGCATGGGCACCAGAGCAGCCGCGAGAGATGACTCAGCGAGAGATGACTCATCCGCGCAGTCAAGTTGTACTACAAAGTCGTCAGTTCTCAGCTTCCAGTTCCACCGCTTGCTTGCTCCGCGTACTTAAGTTGTTCTACAACGTTGCCAGTTCTCATCTTCCAGCTCCCCACATACTCCGCGTACTCAAGTTGTACTACTAAGTCGTCAGTTCTCAGCTTCCAGCTCCACAGCTTGCTCCGCGTACTAAAGTTGTACTACAAAGTCGCCAGCTCCCCAGAGACTCCACGCACTAAAGTTGTACTAGACAATCACCAGTTCTCATCTTCCAGCTCCCCAGATACTCCGCGTACTAAAGTTGTACTACAAAGTCGCCAGTTCTCAGCTTCCAGCTCCACAGATTGCTCCGCGTACTAAAGTTGTACTA